AAAATATGACCCAGGGAGTTGATTGTGGCAACGATTTACACAATCTCACCATTTTGGGGGCCAAACAATCTCCTTTTTCAAAAGATACTGTGGGGGCACTTTTAATGCTAATGAGCTGGTCAGAAATTCTCACTTGAATTAGTAGTCTGCACCCTGACATGCCTGATGCTGCATGCGCTGGGCCAAGCATGCCAAGGTCCACACAAATGCACAATTGGTCATGAGGGCCAGTCTAGTACATGAGCATCGTTACTGAACTACATCATCCACGACCTCCGTATCCAGGGCTTTTCATTGAGTCTCAGGATGTAGCATCTAAATGCTCAATTCTGACATGTCTAAGTGTTTTCTAAGTAAATGACTCGGTTTTTTTCATCCTAAATTAATTTTTTCTGGACATAGGCTATTTTTGCTTTCTTACAGCTTATGCACTGTAGTAAATAATTACTGGCGTCTGTATATGGAAGTCTTCCCTAGTCAAAGCTCGTAAATTTATTTTACATAAGACTTAGTCTTGGGTCATTCGGACTTTGGAGACCTGACCAGATTACCTTGGGAAAGAGTTCAGTGCATGGACAACAGTATTTTCCCTTAAAATATTACAGCAGTCATCAGAAAGTGAGAACATGTCCTAAAAGTTAAAATTAGCTGAGAAAATTTCGAAGCATTTACTTAGAAAACACTTAGGTTTTTTCAGAAAAGTCTCGTAGGTTTGTATACAGAGGCAAGAAGTGTTGTCCATATGTATGGAACTCTTTCCTTACTTTTGTAGAACAGGAACCACGATAGCCCCATGAATGTGGCCTGGACTCTTCTTGCTGTATCCTTGGCCACACTTTCCTCTATATGAAATGTCTGTGCAAACATGGCAAAAGTAGGCACACAATTCTATGCAACACCTTACCTTGACTGTTCATGACACAGCAAGATTTGAAATTTTGCTGCCATAGACAATGTGTGTTGATTCACTTCCATTGCTTGCTATTTTCGAAATGTCATTTAGCAAAGTACATGTACGTGCGTGCGCCCTTGCTGGCAGTGAAACCAGACATCCGAATTACTCCGAAATAATTTGCCACATCCGAAGTACTTGGCTATGGCTTGAAATTACACACTATTCTGGCCAGTTCCCGTTGAGTCTGCAGGCATTATGTCATGGGTTTGTGAAGCTTGGTAGTCAAAGTTTGCTTGGAACTGGGCTGATGATACTTTTGCTGCCCATGTTTTCTAGAGTTGATTTTCTTATCAGACTTCTGGTGAGGTTGGGGTTGTTTGAAACCATTGACCATCATCAAGTGAAAAGTGCTGCTTACATTTTTAAACAAGGGTTTTAATTGATACTCTATGCATCGGCAGCCAAAATTCTTTGTTCCTGTCATTATGAAACTTGTTATTTGAGTGTGGGTGCTATGCTTAGACTGAGAGATCAGGAAAAGTGCAGTTAAACATTTTGCTGTATCTAACATCTTGCATAAGGACAGAAATACCTGATCTGATTACAAACAGGATTAGAGGTTACCTCTTAGTTTTTAATTTCTTTCTAGGCTACCTCCAGATTATTGGTGAATTATCCTGAGCTTTATCAGTCACAGATTCTGGATTATCTCTTCAAGGTAACACCTTTGAAATGCCTTTTTCGTATTCTTGAGAAGAAAGGTTACATCTTAAAGGAATAAAGATTGCTTGGAAGGCTACATTAAAATGTAAAACACTTCCAAACAAGTTGGAAAGAGTGGTAGAGTTTTTCCCTCATAACACTACCAACCTGTCATGAGACAATCCACATTTTCAACCATGTATCATGGACTTACTTTATTGCATAAAAGAAAAAAAAAAGGCACTGAAAAAATTCGATGAATTTTTTCAGTGCCTTTAGATGGGTTTCTCAATTCAAATCTTTTTAGCCATTGAGAAAATCATTTCTACATTTATAGTCTGTTATCATTTGAGTGAAATTTAAATAGCGTAGCTGTAGATGGTGGGCATATGCCTGACCACAGGGGTGCGCCTTCTCTGGTCAATCAACCACAAGGCTAGATGCAAAGCCTTTGTCATGGACTGGGTGTCCATGTAATTATGAACTCACTGTTAGTATTGTACGTGTTGCGCTATGTGAATGCTGGAGGTATATCCAATGAAACGAATTTTGAATCCATAGATAAGCAGGGTAATCATCACAAGAATAGAATTTTAATGTGACACCAGACATTTGTGCTGTTCTTTTTTTTTGGAGCATATTAAGGTGTGTAGCATCATCACAATGTTAACATGAATAAATGAAGATTTCCAAAGATGGAGATAGGGAGAAACATGTAGGTTTAGGTTTGGAATTTACTGTCTGTTTTATACATGGGAGGTGATATTGTACATTGTTGAATCATCACTTTTATGCTGTTTAAAAAAAGAGGTGTGGATTTTTAATTTGTTGCCTATTGGTAGGGACAATAATCAACTTCTCTTGTTTATGCAGCCTAATACACTTCTATTTAATAACACAACAGAAGAGAAAAGTTATGCTCATTAGATGTGACAAACCAAGTTTCTGCTGAAAAAGTTAGTGTTAAGACGCGCAACAGGAATAAACTAATTATAATTTCATTTCTTCCTCTTGATAGCCTAACTTTGGAGCATCGCTGCCTATTTTGAAGGTTGAGATTGGTGGAGACTCTCAAAGTACTGATGGAACCGAATCGTCTCACATGCACTCACCTAATGATGAGAACTATCAGAGAGGATATGAATGGTGGCTGATGAAGGAGGCTAAGAAGGTAGGAGTACTATCCTGGTTAGTGTCATCGTATTGTCATGCATACTGATTGTGGTAGTTAGTTTACAGATACATGTGAATGTGGGCTGGTGAAGGAGGCTATTAGAAGATGAGAAATTTAGTCTGGTTTGTGTCATCCTACGTTGGAAGTACTGGTAAATGGCAACTGGTAAAGGAGGCTAGGAAAGCATGAGACGGTCCAATTTTCAACCATTTTGACTCTGCTCAAAGGCACACCAGTTTTGCTTATATTTTATATGATTTTTGACTTCTGATGAAGGGAACATATCTTTTACCCTTTGCTTTCTTACCATACATGCAGCATCATTAAAACCACCTGTGACTCAATGACCTTATTGAATGAGACTATTTTCATTGCCCAGGAAATTAAAAATCTGACTTACTCTCTTTTTCATCCAGTCAGATTCAATCAGGTTATTCTTGTCAGAATGATGAATCATGCATTAATGACTCTTATGTGACAAATTTTGTCATGAACCTTCTAGGATAATTAAAGAATTTTTAATAGCACCTACTTCTGTTTCATGTTTTCTGGAATGGTTTGTAAATACAGATGCACAATGTCCATCTTTAAGAGGTAGTGTTCAGCTTCCCTTGAATTTTTTTCCCTGTGTAGATTCATTATTCTATTGATTCACTTGCCTGTCATTTTTGTACAGCGTAATCCAAAAATCAAGTTGTATGGCCTCCCATGGGCATTTCCTGGCTGGATTGGGAATGGCACACAAAGTCCTTACGTCAATGTTGACGTCACTGCTGACTATATCATCAAGTGGATACAGGGGGCTAAGACCTATCACAATCTAACGATTGATTATATTGGGGTAAGTTGAAATCAATCTTTTGATTGGAATTAATCAGAAAACTATTGTGTTAAAATTTTGTAGAGATAGTCATCAGAGCATTGAGTTGAAGGCATTTATTTATTTTTCATTTTTTGGTCAAATATATACATGCTGAAATTCTGAAGGTTTGCTTTCTTTCAATTTTAGATCTGGAATGAAATGAAGTACAGTGCTTCATATATTGAAGAACTTAGGGCTACTTTGAATCAGAATGGCCTCCAGAATGTTCAGATTGTTGCAGCAGATGGCAAATTTCGTATCAGTTATGATATCTTGAATAGTCCAGCATTGGCTAAGGCAGTTCAAATCATTGGGTATGCCATTTTGCAGTTACCTCTTTCTTGCATGGATGAAATCTTTGTATCCATGAGCATGTTACATGTGAAGCTTGCTTGCTAAGAAACTGCTTACTAAGAGGATCATTTATGCCACAGCTGCCTTTTTTGCCAAAAGCAATTTTTAAAAGTGTTAACTACTGTATTTGCATGCTGCCCCTTTTACTTACATGTACATGCACGTGCATGGTGTAAGTCTTTTATTCAATTACTAACACGAGAAAGAAATTACAGTTGCAATTGATTTTGAAAAGACTTTATTTTGGTAACATAATTTAATAATTTGCATACAGTGTTTGGCCAATTTTAACATTCTTAACTACAGATTTGGAATGAAAGGCCGTATGACATCTCCTACATCAAGGCTTTAAGAGCCACTCTAAATAAAGCTGGATTTGGCCACATTTCCGTGGTCGCTGCTGATGGAAAGTTGACTATAAGTCAAGATATCTTGAAGGACAAAGCATTGGCTGAAGCTGTTCAGATTATTGGGTAGGATAGTTTAGTGGCTTACATCCTAAAGCCTTCCACACTTTGCTTGCTTGATAAATGTGATGACTATTTCCTCTTTCAGCACAAAGCACAGGAGGCATTTCACTTTGAAGAACACACAGTCAGTGTATATTATAGATTGAATGTGTGTTCTGAATGGATTGAGATGTATCCTACCTGTTACTAACATGACTACCATAGTCAGTAGCCAACTTGGGTTTTCTTCAAGTGATCTGGTGCCTAGAGTGTGCAGTATTTTCAATACATATGTTAGAATTAATCACCAAGATGGCTGCTGTGCTGAACGTCATTTGCTGGCTTTTCACACAAATGAATGTTCTACTGTAGGTTTGCACAGGAAGTGATAAAGTATGTAGTCCCTTTAAAAGTCCCCTTATTGAAAGCAGAGGTCAAAACTTTATTTTCTTGTTTGATTGTTTCTCTTCAAGTCTTTTGAATGGTACTGTACTTCAAATAAATAAACAGTTTCTAAGCTCAAGTTATAATACCCTTTGGTGACTGCAGAATGGTTTTTCTCAACTTGAACTGTCAGCCTATGCACTGTGGTAAGACTTCCACAAAGTTGTAATGTTAGTTAGAAACTTGATTAGCTAATTTTCAGTGTTTTTATAGTTCTTCAGTGACTTCTTTTATTATCAGATATGGAATGAACGACCCTTTGATGTTGGCTATATCAAAGTCCTCCGAAAAACTCTGGATAAGAAAGGGCTGACAGGAATGCAAATAGTAGCCGCTGATAATCTTGAATTCATCAGTATTGCCATACACAATGACCCAGAAATTGCCAAAGATGTAGCTGTCATTGGGTATGATTTGAATCACCTTTTCCTTTTCATGCAAAGAAAAACACCATTGGCAATACATTGCTAATACGTAGCAACATTTCTGTTGGTACCATAGACGTTCATATTCCTCCATCTTTTTACCTCCTTTGCTTTTTGGGTATGGTATTGTAACCTTTCCAATATCATTAAAATCATTGCAAACCTCTCACTGCTATCCTTTTTCCGATATTCTATTCTAATATTGACCAATTAATTAGCAAATCATTTCGGTCATCTTTCCTAATATGAGAATAAATGCTTTCAAATGACTTATTAACAAAGTTATCAGAAATCGTACAATTGTTGGTTGACCAGTTACTTGTAAAAAAGTTACCACTGTATTCTTGTGAAATGAGATGGATTTATAAATGCTGTTTATGTTTAGACCTTGAGCATTTACCGACAGAAGTTGTATTCTGTTGTGTGCTTTAATGCATTGCAAATCCGTAATTAAATGTAACACTTTAACAAAGTTTTGTATTGTTTATTTCCTCAGGGTGCACTATCCTGGGACTTATGTCACCAATTACACCTTAGAAACTGGCAAGACAATCTGGGCATCAGAAGATTATAGTACTTTTAATAATGAAGTTGGTGCAGGATGCTGGGCAAGGGTTGGTGACATTTTTTTCAATTTGCAAAAAAAATTCCATTTGCTGTTTTGTCATGGTGGTTGCATTGAATACATATCCATTTTTGTTGATTTTTATTGATTTAAACAAAGTTATTTTTTGTTTTCGTTCCATCTGTGTGTGTTTTTTTAGCTTATTCAATTCTTTCCTCTTAATTGAAAGTCTTTATTTTTTAATCATCAGATCTTGAACCAGAACTATGTAAATGGAATGATGACTTGTACAATCTCTTGGAACCTTTTAGCATCATACTATGATGCATTGCCATACAAACGCGATGGACTCATGACAGCTAATGAGCCTTGGAGTGGGCATTATGAGGTCCCTGATACTATCTGGATAACAGGTATATATAGAGGGCGCTCTTGAACATGTATATTGAGGTTGCTATGACAGTTACTAAAATGTGGAGCTGGGATCATAAGGTTAAAGGTATACAGTTGACTTTCGTTATTACAGAATTGGCTACAATGAAATTCCACACAATGTCAGCTGCAGCACGAGGCTTATTGCCTGCCCCTCCAAATGCGTCACGCACAGTAACCAGATATACAGACATCTTTCGCCGTTTTCCTGTCTTCATGACAAGCTAGCGCACAATTCAAAAATCAATGATTTATTTTACACTGATTACATAAACACAAAAATAAAAACTCCCTTCCCAATTCCAGTGAAAATACAACCCAAATAAGTCCGCTCGACTATTCTCACTTCTCAAGAGCCAACTAATGGCCCAACACTGAATTATTCATAGAAATATGAACTAAATCTGCTTGCCCTGAAGAAGGTACTCAGTTACCGAAAGCTCGGCAATTACATATTTCAGAGAACTGAATTATTCATATTGCTGGTATGAAAACTAGCACGCCCGCCTGGCGCCAATGAGATCCTGCGTTTACATGACGTACATTTTGCAAGCATAGCTGTCCAATTGCAATATTCCTTCCTGACGTCATGCTTCTTCAGTGATCATCTCACGTGCAGGTGGCTGCGCCGCAGTGGGCGAGTGAACTCATACTATCAATCGTAGTCATGCCACTAGTGATGAAAATCAAGACAGATGGAAAATTAATTAAAAATGTCTCTCTATGACACAAAAATGTGTTGGGAAGACTACTGACATGGATGGGGGCTCGGTTCCAGTTGAGTCTAGACATTCTTGCAGGTACACACAGGCCTACATGTGCATGCCTTGGTCTAGTTACTGTGAATGTTAGCTTCGTTCAAAAATCCTTGGATCGATGCTTTCACATATATTTGCTTTTTATCTCACATGCTCATCAAACATGTTGTCATGTGACAGTCAAGTTTATTATTCTAAACACATTACAATATATTTAATTAATCACAACCGAGAAATCTTTTTAATATCATTAACATCAACCACGTTCATGTGTACATACATGTACAGTACATTTTACAAAATTGATCGTATTCATGTACTTCACAGAAGCCATTGCATTGTGTTCCACCTACGACCAATTTCAGATACAACAAACATTTCTATTTGGTCCCGCAGATTTTGTAATAACGAGAGTCGACTGTACATTGTACGACCTTGATAGCTGAGAACAACAGCCAGTCAGTCATATGTTATCATTGTCATCATTATTAAGGTAATTTGTGATTGGAATATTTCAGCTCATACCACTCAGTTTACTGGGCCTGGATGGATATATTTAAAGCACAACACAGGAGTGCAACATCTGGAGAAAGGAGGAAGTTTTGTGTCAATGACAAATGGAACAGACCTGACTATAATCATTGAAACCATGGTGCGTACAAACTGCAACCCCATTTAGTAAAATGTCGCTGTCTTAAAATTAGGGTTCATTTTGCCTGTGGTGTTCCTTATTACCTGTCTGCATGAAGTGTCCATTACATCAACCAATATTGTTTACTCGAGACCACTTTTGCATTTTGCAGTAATAAGTGGTATTGAAGACTTGGAAGCTATTTGGTCTTTTGAATGCTAGAGAGGCTGATCATATTGTTTCACTATTCCCTCTTTGTCGTTAAGTTTCAGCTTTAAAAGATACTAATAAATATTCCAGTTTTAAAGGTGAAACCAAAAGGTCCATTCAAAACTTCATAGCAACACAAACAATATATCTATATGGATTAAACAGTCTTTTGAAATCTTTTCTTGTTACAGAGTCACAATCATTCTATCTGCATCCGACCATACCTACCACCTTATTCAGTAGTAGCTCAGACTGCTACATTTGCCTTGCAAGGCAACTTTGTAAGTAAAGCATTGTATCCTTTCTGATATGCAAATTTAAAGTTTGGTGGTTGGTTGTCATATCTTGTAATGCATGGGATACATATTAAAAGCTGGACAAAATAAACTCGTTCTTAAAGTTGTTTGACTTTTTCTTTTACTTCACCAGGCCAATATAAGCAGTCTTAATGTGTGGTATTCTAAGCTGGGATTCAGTGGAGAAACATCAACTATGTTTGTTAAGAAGAATCCAATAAAGGTAAGCAAAAGGTGTGCTGAGAACGTATTTCATGTTTGAAATATGTTGAAAGAAAGCTGTGGATACGTAACTGTTCCTACCTGCAGATTTTGGGCTTTTATTTTTAAAGACAGTTTGGCGGGGAATGACTTGTTACTTTGATGAATTTATTGGGTTTTGACTGTTGAACGTTTTGTTTATTATTGTTGATTTCAGATTATGAATGGACATTTCAGCATGAATCTAGCTCCTGATGAAGTTTATACTTTAACAACCACTGAAGGGGGTATCAAGGGGACCTATCCTGCACCCCCTCCATCTGCCCCCTTCCCTGTACCTTACTCTGATAATTTTGACAGTAAGTTCATGATCAAGTCATGGGATCTGTTTACCTTAAATCCAACTTATTTTGCTTGATGGATGAAAGTTTGAATTTTGTTTCAGTTCCAGCTGCCTCCGATCTTTCCTCTCATTCTATCAATCCAGAATATCCACAATTCACTGAGGCTAATAACTTTGCTGATCAGGCTGGTGTATGGGAGATACGAGAGACTGGTGACCCGACTCATCATATGGTGATGGAGCAGGTTGTCCTTCAGTCACCAGTCCACTGGTGTCAAGCAGCTGACACTCCTATCTCTGTTGTTGGCAACTACTCATGGTAACATGTTTGGGAAGTCTGAAGATGTATTAAAATTCATTTTTCATTAAAAATAAAAAAATGTACTCATAACCCAGGTTATGATTTTGAAAACCAAAAGGTGTGCACTGTATACAAGATAGAGGAAGCGACATACTAATACTAAATTATAGAAACCTCTTCAAAGTCATTAACTTGTATTTTATTATTTAGCCAGTCTGTATTCCGTGGTTCTTTGAAGAAACTTCTTCAAAGTCATTAACTTGTATTTTATTATTTAGCCAGTCTGTATTCTGTGGTTGTGCTTAGTGACAAGTATTTATTTGTAAGACATGGAATTTTTTTTTTAATCAGTGGAGGAGAAGGGGTCTAAAGAATGTTGGTTTCATAGGTATGAGAATTCTGAGTCTGAACGCAAATAACAAAGGGGCATCCCAAGTCCAGTATGAGATTTAGTTGGCAAGTTGCTCGGCTGTTATGGTGGACCATTGTCCCTTTCTGTACAACCTGTTCATGTGCAGTTTTGAGAAATAACTAGTTATTCATTTCCTTTGCAGGATAAATGCAAATGTTTCAATTGATGTTAAGCTTGGAGACAAGACGGGTGCTTTTCTGGCACAACGTGTTGATAAAGGCGGTTGTCAGGTTATCTCAGCAACAGGACTGTTTTTCATTGTTTACTTCAATGGAACGTTTTCTGTCTATACAGACATTAGTAAGTCAATTATTATTCCTATCACACTAACTTTTTGCAGTTGCTTGGAGTTGATGCATTTATAAATTAGGTTTAAGGTTTGTCACTTTGAACGGTTTAAATCCTCCAAAATTATTATCAAATGTTTTTGCCTTGCACTTTAGATCGCCGTTCTCTCCTTAGTTCTGGCGAAGTCAGTGTGAAGAGTGGAATGTGGTTCAACATGCAGTTACTAACACAGGTAAGGAAGAAATAGATACAAAATCTGGTCGTTTGGTTTCCTTTCTGTTTGTTGCTTGAATGGTTTGAAGATTGGTGTTTCAAGTTAGGCTTGGTATTTCAAAGAGGTGATTTTATTGTCCAGGTGTCAAGTGATAGATGGTATTCTCACATCACTTTCTTTTCTTTTGCTATTTTGCTTGGATCATTTATGTTTACAGTTGTAAAAGATTAATACAAGAATGGAGTAAGAAAGATGAGGTGACAAGCTGAACTTAAACTCAATAATCAACCTTATCATTTGTTAAATCTTCCCCCTGTTGTTTCTAGAACAACAAAGCTGCTGGATTTGTGGAAGGCAAGATGGTGTTCAGTACACCATTAGACCCTCAGAAAGTACCCAGTCATGGATTTGTGGCCATTGGAATGCCAAACTATGCATCAGCACAGTTTGATAACTTCAGCATCACTTCAGCCTCATAGATTGTTGTATCAGTGTAAAACAAATTAAATTTCTAAAGGCCTTTTCTTTCACAGTTTTTCATTGCTTTGGATTCTGATTCACCTCCTTGAGTGCTAAACTAAATTATGTCAATGTTCCTAGTAAAGGTCAGCTGGACTCTCCTACAGTAATCTGTTTGACCGATGTTCTTGTTTATTTGTAACTGTATGTTCATTCTTTCATTAAATGAAATGATTACTTCTCAGTGACAAGTAGGATTTGTTACTTGCAAGTGTTTGTTTCACACTCAAAATAACATTCTCTCCTATTTAAACATTTGTATATTCTGTTAGTCCAGTTGCTCGTAACTTGAAATGTGATGACTTACAGTGTACTGGTTGGCCTTGGAGATGGACTGTACGCCAGTACATTCATCAGTGTTATAAAACTTTAAAAGATTCATCTGCAGATTTCAAAATCAAGTGTAATTTTAATTTTTTTTGGTCAATTTTACCATGGCATTACATCATGGTATTGCTTGAACCTTGACCAAATGACAGAAAGATTATTTGCTTTTTTGTAAAGTTTTGTTATTTTTTATTACCGAGAAGAGAATGAGATTTGAGAAGAGAATGTCAACAATCATTATGTTTCTTGGATGGAAGTAAAAAAATAATATTTGGCCGAAATGTTTCTAGAGAATTCTAAAGTAAACCAAGGCAGTGTAGACTGGCAAATCATTGACCTAATCAACTGATTCTAATTAAATCTGTTGATGTAACCGGAGAACATGATTTAATTTTTGTGATAAAAATGCAAGTACATGTACATAATCTGAAACTTGTTTGCATTTCTCCCAAATGGAATAAAATGAACGTGCTTTCAACATGTATCACAACTTTTATGCAGTACATTTTCATAAAGGTATATGCTAAAACAAAACACTATTTTTCCATGTGTTGGTCGTGTAAGCCCTATGTGGCATGTGTGCTGTAATAACCATATGAAATTGGTTACCTTTGTCCATGGAGGAAGGACACAGAAGGAGTTTGAACTGCCCTGACTATGGCATCTGGCCAATTACCACTTTCTGGCATGCCTGGTATGTCCATAGCCAGAGTGCAGTGCACACCTGCTACTCACCACCAGCCTCCTTTGTACCCCATGATCAATCGCCGCAATTTTTCGTTGGTGTACTGCAGTATAGGAAGTTGAATATTTATGCCATCGTTGGTGCTTGATATGATCTGACAACAACATTAAAATATTAGGCTCTGTACCTGAAGTGTTCATGTGCAGCTGTTGCCCTTATCGAACGCTTTCTTCTGGACTTCTTTTGGGAATAAATAGCGAAGCTGTTTGTAAGATTTTGACTTTTATTTGAATCATTTTTATTACGGAATTTACACAAAAAGGTATTTTATGAGATCTCACGATCCCTCCCTGTGATGAAACAGTGCATTTGTTTTTCGTGAACTTAACTTGCCTGTGGTGTTCAACATGTTGTTGGCCAGTCTTAGCCAAACACATACAAAGACGTTCAAAACTGATGTATTGAAGATGTTTTGGAGTGACAAAATAAAATTACAAACAAATGCATGGATAATGAAGAGGCATCAAAATAAAATATTCACTCCTGCAAAAGTAAATCTGATGTTAATTGCAAAGTTAATTCCAAAGAAAACACCGCAAATATTGTTAGATATCACTGGCCCCAATTGTCCGGCTACGCTGCAGGCAGTAATCAGGCATTTTTGGAATGTTTACTATTGTTCGTCTGACCGGCGGCGATGATCATCAAGCACTTTGATGTGCCAGAGTTGTAACTCCTTCTGTGTCCTCCCTCCATGCTTCGTCGACGCGTCCATTTCACGTTGGATCCAACGTGAAACTTTGGACCTTCAACAATGATTGAATATTCAAGTGACACACCTCCCAAATAGACCAATCAGCACTCAATGAGAACCACACATGGTTAACGCAGAGGGCGCAATTTATATTCCTTGAGTCAGTCGAGTTTCGTTGCGGCTGGCCATAAGCTGACACTGGTAAAAGTCTGCGCGTTTGTGCTTCGCGAAGCAGTTTTATCTTTCAGAAATTACCAAGTACGTGTAAGTAATCTTTGTCTTGGTTAATGGCAATAAAAGTACATTGCGAGGTAGAAATTTTATTGTAGTATTCCTGCTTATCAGGTAACTGAATGTGACCGGCAATGGCAACCGTCACGTTGTAAAGTTAGTTGACCAGTTGCGGTATTTTACCACACGATTACCATGACTAGGCATGCACATACATACATGTACATGACAGTATGTGATCATGCACGTGCATGGTGCCGATTGAGTGTCCTCTAGATTGCCAGCAAACATACCCCCGATGAACAAGTTAGTCCAAGTCGGCCTAATTGGGACTTTATGACTCATACTATATAGTATGAGTCGCCTCTTAACATGCTTAACATATGGACGTAGCAACAATACTAATACTCTTAGTCTAATTAGTTTTGATAGTAGAGTCCTAAACCCTCCACAGGCCTTCCTTAAGTTCTTGCCATCAATTGATTTCACTGAAAATACATGTAGCTCCAACTCATGTGAGCAAATTTTATGGAAAGAGTTCCATAATACAGACGCCGCTTAACACCCACAAACCCTATGAAACTGGTCTGAAAAATTGTTTTCTATGTGAATACCTCAATATCTTGAGTCTTTAGGTCATGTCATTGCTTTCAAATGCTTTATGGGTAACTGTAGGAAAAATGTTTGGTGTCTGTAATTCTGTTTAACTTAACCACCATCATTTGAATCTCCAATTCCTAATGAATTCTACAATGGGCACATTAGACAGTTTAAGGACTGTTTTGGAGGAGCAGTCTGAGGATTTTTATTAAAGTCCATATAGGCTTAGGCCATGATTCTAACATTATGTGTAATTTGTTTTCCCTGCTTTCACACTGAGAAAATGCAGTCGGAAACAAATCAAAAACATTTTACAGTAATATTTTTAACTGTGGTCAGCTGCACATGTATGAGATGCTAGTACATATAAGACTTAAAGGTTTTCATGGTGAAAGAAACTAGATTTATAGTAAAGATTGCCGTAACACTATGTATTTATCTCTTCTTTGAGTATGTGTCTCCTGAAGATGGACAGAGTACACTGTTCGAAACGTCAAGTTATTCCCCGGTTCTTCTCAGAACCACACATACTCAAAGAAGAGATAAATACATGGTGTTACCGCAGTCTTTACTAGAAATGCTAGTACATGTTCTTTGATGTTTTGTGTACTGTAGGTCTGTGATGAATTTGGGGTTTGAAATATATTTACACGTATTTCCTGTTTTACACATAAAACATGTAATGCAGTAAATGTAATACACTGAGCCAATCTCAATCACAAGTCACTTTGTATTTGGTCATGACATTTCATGCTCTACAGTGTGTATTCAATTTTTAAATGTTGAAAATTATATTTTTTTCTGCGGAATTTATCTCGGAGTTACCCATGTCACAGACTAGATCATGCTCATGGGCAATGTCATGGTTACTTGCATTGTAAGTTTACATAAAAATAGAGTCTGATACTGAAAAATGCATACCCCAAAAGTGACGGAATTTTTTCATATCACAGCTTTCACTCAAATCTAGTGATGAGGAATTAAAACTATGTGCAAGTACAGTCTCAGGCCACTTATCCAGTTTGTAGCATTTTGCTTTTGACATTTCGGAGGAATTTTAAAAAGTTAAGAAAATATATTTGAAACTACGGTCATGTACCCGCTTGTATGGGAATCCCCACATGTGGATGGCCGAGTGATTCATTGTTACACTTCCTGTTCCTTGTAATAAACGTCCATGTTTTTTTGTTGGACTAGACAGGAAGATTGGTTTTTTGCCAGGTTATGTATTTTATGTTAATCACATCATGATATGTGGGGTGACAAGGGTCACTTAACACTGTTAAAACAAAGTTTACATTTAGAGATGCTTGACACATGCAACAGAAAAGCAGCCTGATTGAAAGCAGTTCATTTATTCTGTTTTTCTTGGCATTGCAGATCTTCCAGCAATGACTTCAAGTCTCACTGCACCAAGATTAAACCTTAATGAACCCAAGTGGGATCAGTCAACATATCTTGGACGAGCAAAGCATTTCTTTACTGTCACAAATCCTCTGAATGTTTTCCTGACAAATCATCAACTAGATGAGGCAAAGAAGATCGTTGAAGCTTACAAGTAAGTAAAGCTTGTAAAGAAAATGAAAAAAAAAGATAATACAGAGGAGGATGATTGATGTAACAAGCAATGGATAGATGACAGATAAATAAGCCTGTGACATTATTGACTCAAATTATATGTTCCATTTTCTCCACAACTTAGGCGTGGTCAATTACCTAATGCCACCGAAGCCCAACTATGGCAAGCCAAGTACCGCTATGATTCAGCTTTCCATCCAGACACTAAGGAAAAGATGTTCTTGATTGGAAGAATGTCTGCACAGGTCCCTATGAATATGACCATCACTGGCTGCATGCTGACATTTTACAGGTTAGATGTATATATGTTTTCAAGGAGTAGTCGTAATTATTACAATTTGGCTTGGCATCACCCATCTTTGGTAACATTTAGTCATATATATCTCATCATGTTTTGTACCTTCAATTTATTTTGTTCAGTCCATTAGCAATGTTTGATGAGCATCTGGCAATGAATTAGTTCCAAAAATGTTTGCTTAGAATCATTGAAAACATAAAAATTGTGTGTTTACTTAATGTGTATACATGGACAAAAGTGAGTTGGTTTTTTATTATTCATTTGAAGTGATTTTTGTAACTGTGCATTTTCCCTCAGAACCACACCAGCTGTTTTCTTCTGGCAATGGTTTAATCAGTCCTTCAATGCAATTGTCAACTATACCAACCGAAGTGGAGACTCGCCAGTATCAAACAGGTACATACATGACTGTCAAATGTCTAAGTGTACACCTACTTTGATCCTGTTTGCTCCTAGGGGCACTCTGACAAAATTCAATCCTTGTCTCACCAGATAATTTTGTTACTATTAAGAAGAGTAGATGTCTCTCCATTCGATATGTACTGAAATGTTTGTTTATCTCATAGATGAAACTTAAAAATTCCCTTCTTGGTTCAATTTAAAAAATAAATGATGAAACAAATTATATAGGGAAATTGACTAGGTGCTTATAAATGTTATGCATAATCATTTATAAGCACCTAGTCAGTTTCCCTATATAATTTGTTTCATAATTTATGTTTAAAAAGCTGTATCCTCTCCGAGTGATCCCTTCCCGGGTTGCATCGTGTTATTGGGGTGTGTTCCCTGGTTATATGGTGTTTCAAGTTTAATGGCTTCCAACTAGTGCCCCCTAAACAAAGAAATTGGCAAATGGGAAGAACCACCAACATAGGGCTGGATAGCTCAGTTGGTAGAGCACCGGCATGGTATTGTGGAGGCCGCAGGTTTAAATCCCACTTCAGTCAATTTTTTTGTTCGTCTTTATAACTAATAAATGCATTGAAATAACCAGTTACTCCACAGTATTCAGTTGGTGTCTAGCCCCAGTCTTTTGGCTTCAGAGTTCTGCATTTTGGTGACATCTCATTAACCATCCTTCCCATCCCACAAAGAAACCTCTATCCATAGATTAGGGAGCCACTCATTGCATTTTTTGCTGACAATCGTCTGTTTTTTGTGCTTCATGAGCCTTTGTCATAATATTTTGCTATGTCTACATTTTCAGCCAGCTTGGTTTATCCTATGCCCTGGCAACCACTGGTGCAGTTACAACAGCTGTGGGTTTGAATAGTGTAGTGAAGGTATGTTCAACTAACATCAGATGTGCCATTACGTCATCTAATGTACACGTTCCATACCCCTTCCAAGTAGTTGCACACATTCCATGTACATTCCACTGAAAAGAAATGATTGATTGTACTGCTCATGAAATCAAGTGATGATTGACTGTTTGAAATGCTTTATCAAATAAAGGGCATCAGTGGAACATTGAATCACATTCTTGTTATTGTCAAACACATAGAGCCACTCTGAACATGTATTTTGGCTATTACAGGATTAGATTGGTCCTGGAACTTTACAAATCTTCCAATAAGCCAGTAGGCACTGCTGAAGATTTGACTGCTGATCTCTTGATTTTATCTGTCACAATTGCCTAGAAAGCTCCTGTGATAGTTGGCCGCTTTGTGCCTTTCATTGCCGTAGCTGCAGCTAACTGCATCAACATTCCGATGATGAGGAAACAAGAGCTACAGCAGGGTATCCCAGTGTTTGATGAGGAGGGCAACAGGATAGGAGAATCAAAGGTCGCTGCTCGCAAAGCTATTCTGCAAGTTGTTTTCTCCAGGATATGTATGGCTGTACCTGGCATGAGTAAGCGATGGATACATGTCTATCTATGAACAATACATGGGATACAGAATTACCACTAAGGTGTCTAAGATTGCATTTCTCTTCGATATGTATGATAAGACCCTGCTTTATTAGAGGAACTTAGTGTAGTTAAGTTGCAGACATTTCCTGATAAGACATATACTGTAATTCTGCTTACTTGGGATGGGGTTTGTTGTTGATAGCGCTTTGAAAAATAATGGGATCGGGTTGCTCCCCAGTTCTTTTCAGGTAAGGCAATTTTCCTGAATATAATATTGTTCCCCCTCCCCTTGAAGGTATACCGCCAGTAATCATTCATCGGTTGGAACAGGGTGGCTTCTTGAAACGATATCCATTCATGAATGCACCAATACAAGTGACTCTCGTAGGCGTGATGTAAGTATTGATTGGTTAATTTACTGGGTTGATTGGAAGGAGGAGCTAGTGGTGTGTGTGGGCGGGGGCAGGAGGCATTAACAAAGAGTGGAGGGGAATTGTGTTTTCAAAGAATCAAGAGTGATTGAAATTCAGCTTTAAGAATCCAGGGTTAAATCATTCTTCTTGGCATATGCCATTCATATGTACAAATCTCAGTTTCTAAATCAGATATTGGGTAGAACAAATTTTACCTGTTAGATAAGATTGTTACTTTTGCAGAATGATTCCTTTGAACTGAAGATCAAAAAGCTATGAAAAGACCCTATTTTCTTTTACAGACAATTTTACTTTCTAATTTCTATTATTTCTGATTGTTAATGTGCAGGTTAGTTTTTGCAACACCGATGTGCTGTGCTCTCTTTCCTCAGAAAGGTAAGTGATAATTCACATCGTAACCACTTGACTAATCCTTAAGCTTGCCCATTAGAAAAGGTGATCAACAGGAAGGGCCATTATTATTTATTCTAGTTTCACAGAATATATCTTCCCTTATTTTTGTACCACCCAGCTCCATTGGATCCAATCGATTAGAACCTGAACTACGAGCAACCATCAAGCAAAGTGGTGGCAGTATTGATAGGGTCTACTTCAACAAGGGTTTGTGATATCTGACATTTAGGTCATCCTGATATTGAGTATTCTTCCTTGGCAAGTTATTGCTTAGTTAATGGTTTCTGTATACAGTGTATTAAAAACACCACACACCCCATGGCCGTCCAATACTACATTTTATTGTACAATACCTTTTTAAAGTTCATGTAGAAAGGTATTCCTCGAAGTCACTGATGAGGATGTACATGTAGCATTGCTGATATTATCTCAGTTCACTGTATGTGCAACTGGTATCAGTCATGTTCAGACACATTTGCCTATTATTGGCGTGTACGTATGTGTAACATGAATGCGCTCAAGTTTAGGCATAGATTTATCAGGCTTCAAATTCACATCTTTGCTGCTGTAGGCCTATGAATTGTGTGCTTCATTTATGTAAAATTCCAGGTGAATGTTGGTGAAATTTTAAATTTATGATATTTGGAAAGCCAAATATAGTAATGGTAAGAGACCAGGATGTGTTGAATCTGAAAGATTCACGCAGCAACTCTGACAGTCAACAAGAATCCAAACACATACAGAAATGAATGGTCTTGAATTTTGTATTTGATGGTGAATTGTGGGGGTTTCAGAGTTATCGGAAGTCAGTAACTGTGGCACTTCAGTTACTGGTAATGCTTTTAACCTGAATCGTGGCTGGATTTGTAATTAGAAGGATGACGGTGTAATACGGTTTTGCTTCTGCAAGCTTCTCAAGCTTGCTAATTTTACTGTTATGTGTCCAAAATGCTTTTAATCTGAATCATGGCTGGATTTGTAATTAGAAGGATGACGGTGTAATACGGTTTTGCTTCTGCAAGCTTCTCAAGCTTGCCAATTTTACTGTCGTTGTGTCCAAATGGACATGACTTGTTTCTGACAGAGTAGTATTGAGTTTCTGTTGTATACATCTTGGGGTATGTTACATTGCCGTGTATATATGTATTTAGCCGTATGTATTTATGATTGGTATGGCTGTACCGGTCTTTTTTTGTTCTTGTTTTAACCTGAAAAGAGCTGGGGAGGGATTCTGTCTCTACATTTTTCTAATGTCACTGCAGAGTGTTTTTTCATGAACCAAGTTGGGGGGGGGGTAGAGTGGTGAACCCCCCCACCAGCTGTGAGGTGGTTAAAAATACCCTGGCTCTTTTATAGGGAAAAGACACTAAATTAGTAATTTCTACAGGCATGGCCAATTTAAATCAAAGGATTAGAATTCCAGCTTTAAAATTGTTAAACCACCACATGGTTGTGTTCGTTATGACAGATTCAGTGCTGGTAATCTTGGACTTACTATATGTTTGTGGCTACTTTATGAAATTTGAGAACTTATATTGTTTTAAAGTATGGCAGTTTTTAAATATCAATATTACTTATGTACATCAGACAAGGAGGTTTTGTCAAATGCAGTAGGTTGTATAAGGCCACTTATGTATTTATTCATACCAAAAACATGCTGCACGTGCAACATCTTGAAAATAAATGAATCCAGTAATCAATGTACTGAACATGTAGATTGCTAAACAAGCTTGATGAGTGTTATAAACTATGAGTGAATTAAAATTCAGAACCTTGTTCATTTTCCCCTTTGAATTTCTTTTGATTTCCCATTTTTATGCAAAACCCTTTTCATATTAAAGTCACAGGTATTCTATTTTGACAAATACTTTAAGCTTACGTTTAAAGATTAACCACTTGCCACAACCGTTTAGAACAGCAAGCAGTTACCGTACCTTCTACCCTGACAATTAAAAAATGTATATTTGTTAATTGTCATGCCCTTTCAACTATTTTGGTGCAAGATTAAGCCCTGTCAAACTATGAATGCATGTATACACTTGGATAATGTAAGGTTATCCTCTATTTGTTTTGCATAAAAAATTTAAAGTTTACCCATTTGTACCTTGAAGAAAAGTCAATTCAGTTGAAACCTCAGCCCTTTCCAGATTTTGAAATAAAAACTGTCAAAAGGTGAAGTATGCAATATAAAAACAATTTTGTTCATGTAGTCCACCTTTTCAAAACAAGTTGGAAGTTCCTGAACATGCTTTGCTTGAAAGCGTAAATTTCTCTGTTATTTTGAGAACCAGATTTTTACCCCTCGTGTTCTGAAATTAGGCTGGATCCATCTGTACAGGATTGTTGAAGGCATACATGTACATCACGTTTACCTGATTTCTTACATAAAATAAGAGCTATAAGTTTCCAAGTTAAACATGACATTACGTCAGAAACAGTCAAATTCAATCTGAGATACAAATAAAGCTTGAAATTGTGATTTCCTTTTGCTAAATAAAGAGGCATTGTACAGCACAGAGCCCATGCAACGGAGAGATAGACAATTATCAGAACCAGTCTTTAAGACTGACGTAAGATTTTGTCCAGACTGTGTACCTTATTCTCCTCATTCTCTGCACATTAATCAAGTGTGCTACTATGCTACCAACTGTAAAATAAAAATGTGCAGTTTACAGTCTGAACAGTTTTGACAACTTGTAAAGGCTGGTTTATACTTCATACTTTCGCAAAAGCGAACACAAACACAAATTTGTGATGTCAGATCAAACATTCGGGCTGCAAATTTGCAAAAGTTGAACTATTTCAACAAATAAAACACACTTGTATGTGTAAAACATTTCTATTTACTTAAACTATGACAGCTGTCAAGACTTCCCGTCATGGTGTGATGGAAATTTGTATTTTTATAGCATTTCATAAAGCACATATATGTATTGATATATTCACTTTTGTTATCTTCTTGAAATTGCCACGAGATGCTAAATATTTTCTGACAGTAGAAAAATATCTTGAGACAAACATCAAGGTATATATGTACAAATTATATGCTAAATTGCATATAAATTCTGCCTAATGAATAATTCATCATCACTGCATCATCTCAACTGCTTTCTTAATGATATCCTACATGTATTCCTAAAAAATCTTACACCTGACTTCAGTAAATCAGAAGTTACCTAGGCTTTCCACATCCATCCATTACTCGGTGTACAAATCATTCACTAAGTACATGTACGTGGGCCTTTCCTTGGTGAGTGGGATCTAAGGATATATCTCAGTAACACAGCAGCATTCAATATACACGAATATCTGATATGGCAGAGCGACATCTTAACTGCACTGAGAAATGGTAATAACTAATATAAATGCATTGTTGTGACAAGTACATGTACAAAGACTTTTGGCTTTTATTCCTGCTTTACTAATGTTGGCTACATGTCAAGAAACATTTGAAATTCAGCATTGTTTACAATGCTGGTGATAAATGTGAAAAAGAAAAATCAGCTTTTCAAACTTTCAAAGGCAAAACAAGTACATGTTGTCAGCTGCACATGCAGTAAACAGTTCATCTTCTTGATTTGTGATTTTCATACCTCAAAATATCACTTTGAAGTCAGCAATATGCTAAAGGGGCAGGTTTTGATAGATTTCACTAGTTCCCTGCAATCATTTCCTTGGTAGTTTTGAAGAGGTTGATAGGATTATTACCATTCATGAGTGTTGACTCAATTCCAAGACCCTCCATAAGCTCCGCCTACAAAGTGGGCAATCAGACAGAAGAATCTTAATAGTTAAATGCAACTATAGCCTGATGGTGAAAATAACTGACTTTATTTGTATAAAAGATATTCTTTGGAACTATATTTAACACTTAAGAGTTTCTGAGACGAACCTGAAGTTTGGGTCCAGCACTTGCAATAGCTATGATGGTGTTTCCACCAAGAGCCTTTACCATAGCATCAAAACGAGACACCTAAGCATGTAAAAAGCATGGGAGAATAAGATTTGCCAAGAAAAATGAAATCAAACAAGTCAATAATGCCACGGCTAAATTTCCTAAGAGTCCCGGCCATGCCAGATAGCCAGGACAGGAGCTAACAGTGGCACTGTCCAATTAGACTTGCGGCTTAAATATGGGCAGATGATTTAGCTGCTTATGATTTTACAGTGCAACAAAGTCCACCTGACTTTTACCCTTTACGCTTTGTTGCATTGGGCAGGGTTAAGGACAGCAAAAACATGTACAAACTTCTAGAGGAATTATGTTGTAAACCATCACAACAAACCTTACCTCAATATTACACAGCTGAATGGCTTTTTTTATCTCAGCTTCATTCAGTCTTCGTTTGTAGGAAAGTTCTGACATACGCAGTAGGTTCTGAGTTTGAAGTTCAGCATCATGGATGACTTCCTCAGCTTGTGCTTTAAGACGAGCTGAATCAATGGCACTGTGGCACTCAATAAGGAGGGACTCGGCACGGGCCTATGAGATAGAAAAGGTCACATTTTAAGAGTATGACTTAAATGGTTCTTTACTAGCAAATAGGAATGGAGTCAACATACACCGTAGGAGTATGCTCCGACTCTCAACAGGCCAGTAAGTAACAAAATGAACAAACAGGCAGAGAAATGATGCAGTGAAACCCAAGAGGGAAGAACTCTCCCCATGGGTCAGTGGTTGACAGAAAAAGGCACACGTACCAGCCAAGTCAATAAAGCACTGTGACACTGCATTAGTGACACCATTAGCAGTGAGTGGCAAAGAGGAACAAGTGTACAAGCTGCGTTAACCTTGCTGGGGCACTAAACAAGGTGAGACTGAACACAAAAAGCATTTATCTTACCTGCGCTTCAGCTTTGGCTTGTCCTGTTGATTCAATAGCTGCAGCCTCTGCCTGTAATTCAAATAATTTAGCCCTTTCTTGCTCAGCTTCTTTCTCATTCAGGAGTTTCTGTCTTTCCAGTAATCCTTGAGATTCCTGCTCTTTCCTTGCAGCATCATGAGCTGCAGCTCTCTCAATTGACCTCATCAGAAACAAAAGAACTCATTGAAAGAAACTCTGGACCAGAATATGATGGGGATTGTTCTGGAACTGTTCTGGAACAATCAGGGCCATGATTCAAGAACCATATTTTGACATCAGGTTGAATATACTGCTTCTTATGGATACACAGAGCATGAATTCACCACTTTTAAAAAATCTAAAAAACTCTTGAAAGGTTCGTAACTGTGCGATGCTTTTTTTTAATACGGTGTTCCTAAATCAGGCTATCAGGGGCAAATAAATAAGAAGAATCCTAATATGAAGCACAAATAAACCAAAAACAATACAAGGGTGGAGAAGGCAAGCACACCACAGAATTAAATACACACAAAACCAGTTCCAATCAAGAAAAGCCAAATGATTGGACAACATGTTACCACGTGTGATTGATATTTGTGTATACTCACTTAGTTGAGATCTCGATTGCCATCTGTACAGATTTGATCAAACTGTCCCTCATGGTTAGATCTACTGGTTCTATGCCTTGAATGTCTACATTACTGATCACCTAATATTACCAAAATAAACAAAATAAAACATGTAAGCCAAAATAATTACCCAACAAAGAAACTGTAAAGAAACAATAGTAATTGGGACAAAAAAGAAGTAACTTTACCAAGTGATTAGCTTTGAATTTTAGTCTGTTTTTCACGTTCCCGTCAGCATCAAAGCCAAAGACAGCTCCTTGGAGTATTTTGCTAGAATGACGATGAAACTCATCAAAGCGAACTCTGGACACTGCTCCACGAATGCGACTTCCTGAAGGACAATAAGAATTAGTTGGCGTAATCCAGAATAATTACCTATTAGGAAAATTCTGTAACGACTTTTTGTACATGTGTAATTGCAAAATAGAGATTGCAACAGAAATATCAATAAAAAGGTTTTTTCTTTTAATACAAGACCTACCCACTTGTCGACAAGCAAAACCAATGAAGTCAGGAACAGAGAAAATGGCTTCTTCTGATAGTTTGTTGCCACGTTCAAACTAAATGAGCAAATAAATAAAAAAAGGTGGAGTGTTCTACCTTAATGTAAAAAATACCTGAAGGATAAAATAACACAAACTGCCTTCATATAAAAACTCGAAATATGTCTGTCAGCATCAGCTGTTACTGTTGGTTATTCAATGCATCAAGCCCATTAATAACTAGAGAATCAGGTGCTGCATAACATGTTCACACTTGTGTCTGTGGATAAAAGTTTGGTTAATTATAAGGGTAGTTGCTCACTTATTACTTCCAGATGTACTTAAAATGCAAAAATGATCAATGATTTGGACAAACTTTACAATAAAGAACTTGCCTCAAAATAGTTGTTGAAAGCAATCCGGACCTTAAGTCTTGCATGATCTGATGTCTCAACCTACAACAAAGTGTAAACAAAATGTCTGTGAATAAAGGGTTTATTTGACTTATTATTTTCCTAAAAGAGCTAGTCATGCACTATTTACCTTTAGAACAATGTATATAAAAGAAACATTTAACACACATAAACACATTTACCATTCTGAAGGGATGGAAAAATTATTTTAAAAAAATACGACAGTTCAGAACTACAAGAAAAATTGATTCAAGAATATCAATTCAAGTGAATCCAAGTTACCTCCAAGATGTCTGTAATGTAATCTGGTCCAAGCATAAGGCAAATTGTCTGTAGGGCATTCTCTACCTTGGGTTTACCAGCTGGCACAAACAAAAAAGGAAAATGGCACTTTAGATTATTTTCCTAGCTTTAAGTGTCATCAAATATCGGGCATCTACAGAATTGAATAAATCTTTATCTCTCAAAGTTTGAAAATAATCAGTAAGAACTCATTCCTCATAGGTCAAGGGAAGAATAGCAGTAAGCCTTTGAAATAAACATCACAAGATTCAACATTTCATTAAAAAATTCCCTGCCAAAGTTTGTGATCTTTTTTGATAAAAGCACTGTCCCATTGCTACTTACCACTCAAGCTCAGGACATTAAAATCTTCTTGAGGTCCAAGGATGACCATATCGGGACCAAATACAACACGAGCTGTCTTTTCTTGGTACTTGTAAACCTTGAATTATTACAAACAATGATATGTTATATGCTTAATTCATGTAGATACAAAGATAGTGACTCTTAGACCAGGAAGAGAAACCAATGCAAAAGTCAAGAAGGTAAGGCATTCTAACAGTGTTTGGGTAAGGTGAGTGAAACCTTTAGTCTTAAGTAAGAGAGTGTATTTATTCAGAGTTAGATTTTTTCAGCAAAGAATATGTGTTGGGAAAGTGTGACTATTCAGTATGTATTACAAGCAATTTATTTACCTGAACAGCTGTGTTTCCAGGGCAACGGAATCTCACCACTCTGGTTTTATCTCTTATCTGGAAATAAGTATTGGAAACAGTAACTGCAAATTGTTTGACTGAAACAAATGCAGTAAACAACATGACCCGACATTCAAGAAATTACAACACTGACAACTCCATGAAAAGGAAAAAATGCTTTAAACTCATTAAAAACAATCCGATATTAGTAAACTGGACTAGTTTTCATGCAGAATAAATTTTGCATGAACTACACTCCAAGTGAGTGATGAGGATCTTTACCTTGCCAGGTGCATAGTCTGCATCAATAGATGACTCAAAGTAAGCAAGCTTCCTGATATCACCTGATCCACAACCTCCACCATTCCTTAAATGAGAAGGACCAAATAAGACTCAACTCTTACAGATTTGGGGAAATTATGTACATACATGTAAAAGGAATCCATCCAGATCAAGCTCGCCTTGCCCCTCCCCAACCTGCTCAATTTAGTCCCTTGCAAAGTGTGTAAACATTCAAAACTTTATCTCATGGTATGACACTATTCCATCATTTGAGGTTCACTGTGGCTGTCCCTTAGGACACTAAAACACAAGACAGATCACTTAAACAAGTTTCATCATGTACACTTGATGCATTCAAAACATACTCACTGGAGAATAGTCAGAACCAAAGACGGTAGTTCCTTTTCCCACAACTGTTCGTGCTCAGTCAGCAGATAGGAATCAGGACCCATCACAGCACGGACCTAAAACAGAAATGAGAAACCAACAAGTTCAGTTCAACTTTAAATCAGAATATTACAGAAGGAAAAAAGCTAACACATGTGCATTCCTGATTCCTTGGGAAAATTAATAAGTTGCATTTTTACCTCTCCTGTTTTCAAGTTGCGGACGTATATTCCTTCCATATCATTAAGGGGAATAGCACGTCTGAAAATATAGCAGTTAAAGAACTCAAAGAAAATACAAATATGAAACACAAATGCATTTAGAAGATTAATATCAACAAACACAATGGCAGAAATAATAGTCAATTGGAATATTTATAGCAAGGAAGATGTATTGACTTGGTACTGCAATCTAAATGACTGACACGGTGCCTTACAGGACTGTAATAAATGTACTTTAATAGTTGGCTGTGGCTTAAACTTAAAATCACTTCAGTGATAACTGTACTGTTGTGATAATTGTGAGTGTTAGCATTTTTAATAGGTTACTTTAGGCTTTTAAATAGGTTAGGCTTTGATAGGTTATTTTAGCACTTAATAACCTACTCATAACTACGAGTACTTCAGACAGTCTCCATATTCAACAACGTGCAACTTGAATGTGTATTAACATTTGATAATGCCCACTAAGAAGTGATAATGCCCACTGTGTAAATCACACACTAATGCCTGGATACGAGACAGTTTAATCAATCCTGATTGGTCAAGAGTCTGTGTGCACGCGGCTCACCACGTGCACACCTAGTCCATCTAAGGAGATTCTTTTGGACAACTATGAAAAAAATAGAAGGGGGTGTACAGGAAAATGACAGTTAAACTCTATAACAAAATCGTTGGAAATCTATCATATATTGACTTCTTTTGACTCTCTGGCTAAAAAAAAGTATTCATAAATGGGAATAAATATGTGGTTGGTCAGTCTGAAATGTTTAAGACCGGCTCAAGAGAATGAATGCTGATAATGCCCTCACCTTGGGCTCGGTTATTAGTCGCCCCTGAACCGGTCATGCGTTTAAGACCGGCAAAGCATATATTTATGCCCTTATTAAAAATGCTAACACTCACAATTATCACAACAGTGCAACAACATTAACCCTAACCGCCCGGGCCCTTTTGGCTGGGATACACCGTCAATCCGTCAAAATCCTCCAGTTTTGCTACCCAAAAATTGCATGCGCCCTCAGTCCTCCAAAATCCTCCAATATTCAATACTTGTGCTGTACTGTATATGGAAAATGTACACTGTGTAACACTACAAGAGGATGTACCAACGTGACATGTACAACCCAGCAACTCCATTCAGCAACCAGTACATATCAATCCTCCAAAATCACCTGGAGGATTTTGGAGGATTGAGGATGGTTAGGGTTAAGAATAATGTTAATACAAAAATGTACACCAGAATATAACGTGCAATACTGAACATACATCTACCTGACTAAAGCACCATCTCCCTGATCAATCACCTGTACTTGAACAGGTGGAATGTAACTGATTGGCCCGTGGATCATCCAACGATCACCTGAGATACGCATCTGAGGTTCACCTGGATCATTATAATAAGGGGCAAACACTCCATTCAATCAGTTAATCATACTGGTTGGCAACAAACAACTGAGACTATTTTATACCTGGGTGTTCAGGTGGAAAGACCACAGCATCCTGGAAATCATAATCAAAGGACTCTAACTTGAGTAAGCCTGTGAAGTGAAACCTGAACAATCCACTTGATGTTACCCATTCATTAATTCTTTCCATTTTCAGTGCAATAATCTTCTCTTTATATACCAGAACTTTGACTAAGATGCATTATTGTAGTCGAGTACTTTTCAAGTACCAACGTTCTCCACAAAATACTGAACTGGGTAAGAGGGAATAGAGCCAGAGTGCACAGGCATTTGATGGGAAATGTGCAAAGGTATGCTTACAAAAAAATGTTAGACTTGAGACACCCCCAGTTGTGTAAAATTTAAGTTTTAAGGAGAAAAGTACTTGGAAAATACTCGGCCGAGTTCTTTCCGAGTACTTTTGTCCTAAAAAGTTAATTTTAATCCAACAGTGATGGTCTGAAGTCATT